CAGTAAAGACCTAATTAACCCAATTTCTTTATTTCTTAGGTTATTAAGGGCAGCTGCAAAACTATCTTCCCAAGCATAATATTTAATAACTCTTATTCCTAACAAAATCTCTTGAGTTAATTTTACACGTTCATCAGTAACACCAGCAGCTTTAGCTCTAATACGTGACAATAACGGCATAACATTTCCTTGTATAAAACACACCATCACTAATAAAGCAAAACCAGCTAATGCAGATAGACCAATATTATATATTAACAAACCCAATGCCATACAAATTTGAAAAGGTGTAGACCAAAGATAGTGAAAATAACCGCATAAAAAGTCTATATGCGTAGTATCAGTGGACATTAAATTAGTGATCTTTCCATTAGTAAATAAACACCTAGCTTTTCCACTTAAGGTTAAAGCTTTTCGATAGATAACAGTTATGAGAATTGTACGAGAGAGAAACCCTGTTTCTATTCCACAATAAAAATAAAAATTGATTGTAATTACTTCACCCATTTGCACAAAGAAAAAGATAACAATTAATACGTAGCCAACATATGTAGGTGGCTGCACACCATTATTAAAGTTGGCAAAGTATGCTTCAGAAATAAAATTTAATATTAGCTACAGTATCGAGAATATAAAGAGAGATTAATTTTATCAAGATGCGTCATAACTAATCACGTGAATATACAGGTGTAAAACATACACTTAAAATAAAAGGCGAAGTAATTGTTAATATGTCATTAATAAATATACAAACGCCTGCCAAGCAAAATTTGGCCCACAAAACCCTATACAGAGCTTTTAATAAAGATGGTTTTTTTCCCATCGCAATTTTTTGAGTTTCTTTTTGCCATTCGACTTCAAAGTTATCTGTCAAAATTTTAGCAGTTCTTGTGTCATTCAAAACGTATAGATCATCTTTTTCTAAAGGACGTTTATAACCTAAGTTCATTAAATCGTTAGCCCACCAAAAAATAAGTCTAGAACATAAATTAGCTTTTGCTTCAGGAATTTCAATATTCGGAGAAGATTTCTCAAATATCATTATCGTAATTCGATTAAAAAAGATGAAAGTTTTATTTTTAACCAGTAACCCGTTTTAAGAGTAAAAGGATAAAAGTAAATTATTTTTAAAATAGACCTAATGCGTCAATGTAACGCAAAATAAACCGAAAAAATTTGTCTACGGCTTCAATATCTAACGAATATTAGCAAATCAATCAACTTTAAATGAAAGAAGTTTAATACTGTATCTCATTAAGGGGTAAAAAAAAATTGCGTAGTATAGTGTCACAGGAGGAAAGTGACGTTTTCGAAAACTATAACGAACCGTGCCTCATAAACAAATCTGAGGGCTTGGATGACGCATGCGGCTTTTCGTTTTGCATTACCAGTTGTTTCAGAGTATCTATTAGTCGGTCAACTTTTTTATTTGTATTTTTTTCTATCTATTTTTTATTTTATTTTTTTTAAATCATTATGTTTATTAACGCAGGAGTTAAGCTTTACAATAATTTACCAAGTAAATTATCATTTTCCACAAAATCTCTGCTGCAAGTGAGACTGTTATAACGGGAATATGATCTGGCCGCAGTCACCCGAAAATGTGATCCAAGCTATATGACTCAGGATCATAAATGTGCATTGATCGACAAAAGCGAAGGCATTTAATAATGCTAATTCGGATTTGGCACAAGGCGATGCTCTATTGAGACCAATAATAAGACGCCTTTGTGTTTAAAACTTTGGGAACTAAAGTTATAGTCATGTAAATTAGTATGAATATGAGACATTATCTTTAGTCATAGAATTCTTCCCTCTGATACTCTAAATAGTCATATTGCTTGTAGGGTATAATCATAGTAGCAAAGCCCCAATGTAATCTGTAATCTATATAAACCCCATTAATTTCATGTAACTAAAAGGTAGTAATAAGTAGATAGATAAGAATCATATTAAACACAAGACCATCTAACTCGGGGATCCTTGTTACGGTAGAATCCTTGGTTCTCGGACCAAATCCTCCATACCCACTGTGACGAAAAATAACGTAACATTTGTAAATAAACTTTTGTGTAACTTTATAGTTTAGTATTCTTTAATTAGACTTTTACATTATTATATTAAGCTATACTACGTTTGCGTAAATAGTATATAGTTAATTTGAGTCTAATAACATGTATATAAAACGAGATATTCTTCGTAAATAGGGATAGAGTTTGGGAAAGATTCATCTTTTACTCAACGGGAATAGAGTAATAGGAAGTGGTATTTTAGAGGATTCTTTGTGTACTTGTTGTGAAGATACTTACTTGTATCGCTTATATTTCTAGTACATTTTAGTGTCTTGTGCGTATTAATAAATTATTAGTTTCCTAATTTTAATGCTTATGACCTGAGTTAAATTGGCAGCGCAGTTATAAAGTCTCTCTTGTGTAATATTTTTTGGTGCCAATTGTGTGGAGTGAACGAAGGGGAGCAGAAAACGAAGGTTGTTTTGTGTTAAGAAAAATTTAAATAAGTGAACAAAAACTGAATTTGGACTCTTAAAATTTTCTTAATTGTTTAACAGCCTAACCACATTAGCTAATACTATGAAAAAAAGTTTTGGACTAATCTCTACTGTTGATTTCTGATAGCGTCTGTTATTTTTATTCGATTATTGTGCTATGGTTGTTGCGTTAGAGCAAATTCTGCATAATCTTACAATTTGGAAAAATTAATCTTTAAATTTTTAATGCGTATCGATGAATTAGAAATAAACAAACAATTTTCAAGACTTTGGCTTTCGTCAAATAGAGAAAGTTTGAAATGCAATACTAAGTGGATAAAATAAATCATTATTAAAGATTAAAATTATGAAAAATTAAAATAAATAGTTAATACTGTACATATCATTGAAATAATCACTTTTTGTTCCAACATAGCTATCTTTTTCCCGATGCTATAATTATAAATAAAATTAATAATAATACTATCGCTATAAATCCCATTTTAAAAAATTACATACCAGTTTCTATGACCACCTGAGAATGGTGCCCATGCTACTAAATCAGGATTCATTAACCTTTCTGGATTAAATTCATTGGCATTACTAAATGAATCGGGATTTCTGTGGACTTGTCATAAATTTAATTTTACATTAACCCCTTTTGGTAAAATAAATTTTTTTCTAAATTCTAGTGGTTTGGAGAGATCTCGCATTCCTATTTTTGGTACTGCTGGATAGAGACAAAGTAATTCACTTATCATAGCCGTTATATATTTTAGATCCTTTGAAATTAAACTATAACTTAATAACTTTAATATGCATGTCGTAAAATAACAAAATACTTCAAACTTATTAAAATTTAATAAACTTTAAGAATTCCAAAGTACATCATATGCTTCATCTCTTGCTTTTTTCTGAATTGCCTATCAGGAAAATAGTTTGTTAGCTTTCAATATTAGTAAATTATTGTAAAACATATGCTGATGGTGAAATAGATCATATTTATCTTTCAGCAACAGCAGCGTCACTTATCAAAATAAAGAGAAAAATACAATTACAGGATATTTTGCTAAAAGGTATAAAATAATGCTTAAAGCAGTTGAAGTAGCTAATAGGAAAATAAATAATAAATAAATCTTAATTTAGCAAAATAATAATAATAATAATAAATAACATTTAACTAGAACGTCCAGCAACAATAAAAATTGAAAGATCATCTTTTAAGTCCTGAGATGAAAGTCTAGATCTTTTTTCCTCTGCAGCTTTTATAATCTGCGAAATCATATAAGTACTTTCTTTTTTGGTTCGCACATTGTTTAATAGCTTCAAATAAAAAATCATCAAAATTTTTTAAAGCTATTTCATAAATGACATCGTCAATCTTCAGTAACTTTCTAAAAAATGGAAACACCGAGTAAAACAAATTCATCCCAGGATTTAGAATCGTATGCAAAGTTTTAAAAAGTCAGACGTTTCTTCCAAATTCTCAAGTGTCTTTAAGAAAATTAATATAGTTTTAAGTCAATAAGACGATATAATGTATATATTATCTATTAAAACCCAGGAATATCTTTAAATCATGATTAAAAATCATTTGTCCTAATATTTTAAGAGTAAGGCGTTGCATTGGCGAGAATATATCTAATGGAGTATCAACCCATTTATTTAATAACTCTATAAATTCATTTGTATATTTTTCAACCAGTTATGGACTAAATGCATGATTAAATGCTCGAATTGCAATCTTTCGACGATTCTTCCAATGCTATAGAAGAAGACAATTGTATTAAAAAAAGTCTACATATAAACTACATAGACATGTCATTCTGTAATTAGTTACTAATGTATTAACTAAAAAATATGCTTTGACTTACTTCACCATTAGAAATGCCGAAACAGTTTCCATAGAATTTTTTTCTTGGGCGAAAGTCGAGTAATTCTAGTTTCAGAAGTATGTTATCTAAAGAAATTTGATTAATAATTAGACCGTAAGTTGATATTATTGATTGATGATACATTTAAAAGCAGCACTATTATCGTAATAAATTTGGGACAAATTTATAATAGAGTGGCATTTGAAATCGGCCTAAAGTAAAGTCTTGTTGTGCTAAGTATGTTTTTCTTCAACTTCTAATGATAATTGTGGAGTTAAGTTTTAGAATTCTAACATAGTAAGTTTAGTACAATTGACCTGGTAACTCTTGAGATATCCTTATTAAGCTAAATTGGCTCAGCTGATACAAAGTCTCTCCCCTTGTCGTAACATTTATGGTGTCGATTGTGTGGAAGAACTGAAAGAGAAATAGGAAATAAAATTCGGTTTAGTGTAGAAAATTTCAACAATAATAATAAGTTGGACAAAAACCAGTAAAGGAAAATTTTTTTCGTAGTGTGTTAAATTATAAATGATTGTGGAACAAATTCCGGATCTGTCTTGTGTTGAGTCGAAGTTATAAAGACAATAAAGAATAAAGAATATATCAGTAACGAATGATAAAGAAAATAGTTTAACGAACAAACGAATGAAGTCATGTGGAGTAGTGTGTTAGTGGATTGAACTCAAACCGGATCGGCTTGTGTTAAAAAAATAAATAAAGAACATACCTCGAATACGCGTTGTGTTGAGTTAGAATTTAAAAGTACGATAAAGAATAACGACGACGAAAAGAGAATAATCCAACGAACGAATTAACGAACGAACTAACGAGTGGATTGACTGCGGAATTAGGTGTTAGTGAACATCGATAACGAATACTAAACGGCAGTGTGAAGCAAACGTTACGATATTGGTGGAGCAAACGTTAGAGTATTGTGTAAGGTGAACTTTACAATTTTGCGTGGAGTGATAGTTGACAATCGTTGAGAGGATAAACATTACAGTACGGTGTGAACTAGTGTAAAAATAAGTGTGTGTGAACGTACATATAATAAGTTCGTGGACAAACACTACAATAAGTGGGTAGACAAAACGATACGTTGCAAAATGTGGAACTATGCCTGGTCGTAACAATACTAGTTAAAATTTTACAAATCTTGCTCAAAGTCGGCTGAGAATTACTGCAGAATCGATTGACATCCCTAGTTCAGTCGGTCACGGTCGGTCATCGATGACCAACCTGTAAAAAAATTAGCTACCCCAGTGAGACCGTGAAAGATCGTAGCAGATGCACCAATCAGATCTTTTCTAACAATCGCTTCTCTATGAAACCACCTATTGCGCACTAACAAAAAAAATTCTCCGTAAAATTTTAGCATAAGATAAGCCATAATTTCAGTCACAACCCCAACCCTAACGTAGGTTTTTATTACTTTAAAAATTCGATTGTTTAATTAGTGCAGATCATCTCACGGTCTTAAAAAATTATCGGGCTGATCCGTGTTGATCTTTCTTATCGGACTGATCCGTGTCGATCTGTTTATAGGATCCGTGTCGATCTGTTTATAGTATCTAAGAAAAGTCGCCAATAAAAAAATTTTGATTTTCTAATTTGATTTATCATAACAACGTATTCAAACGTACGTGTTTTAGCAACAATGTCCCTAAACATGAGGCCAAAAAAACAAAAAGACCGGAGCAAGTGGAGAAACCAGAAAAACAAGATGCCCCAGAAAATCCAGAAAGAGAAGAACCAGAAGCCCCAGAAGAACCAGAAAGAGAAAAACAAGATGCCCCAGAAGAACCAGAAAGAGAAGAACCAGGGGTATTGTGTTTTTCAAGAACATAAATACTACACAATACTAGGTGTTAGTAAATAAAGTTTAAGCATTCTTAGTTAGGAGATTTTAAGTCTAGCGCAAGCACTTTCAATTGCATAGAGTTTCTTGGTTAACCTTGCAAAGAACGAACCTGTTTAAATAAAAATTTTTGTGCTGGGGGTTCTTGGTAACCTTGCAAAGAAACATTATTGCTTTTTGGCTCAACTTTTCAAAAGAACTTATAGGGTTTAAATACTCTTTAACAAAATTTTTTTAAACATTAATTTTTATTAAAATAAAAATTTCTGTGTTGGGAGTTCTTGGTTAGCTGCACAAAAAAGCATTATTTGTTTCTTGGTTCAACCTTGCAAAGAGCTCATAGGGTGTAAGGACTCTTTAACCAACGCTATTACAACGCTAATTTTTATTTGGAAGTTCTTGGTTAACCTTGCAAAGAAACTTTAATATTTAGCAGTTATATAAGTTTCTTGGTTAAATCTTGCAAAGAACTTATTTATTAGCCAACTTAATAAAAGTTTTTGTGTTGGGAGTTTTGGTTAACCTTGCAAAGAAACATTATTGCATTTTGGCTCAACCTTGCATAGGAACTCATAGGGTTTAAGTACTCTTTAACCAAATCTTTGTAAGCATTAATTTTTATTAAAATAAAAATTTCTGTGTTGGGGGTTCCTGGGTAGTCATACAAAAAAGCATTATTGTTTCTTGGTTCAACCTTGCAAAAAACTTATAGAGTTTAAATACTCTTTAGCTAATGCTATTTAGCCAATGCTATTATAACACTAATTTTTATATTGGAAGTTCTTGATTAACCTTGCAAAGAAACATTTGGCATTTAGTAATTGCGTTAAATCTCTTGGCTAAGCTTTTAAAAAAATTTTATAGTTTAATACTAATTAATCAACAATTTTTGTCGTAATAATCTGATATAAATTTACGTCACTAATTATTTATTTAATATAAATATAGGGTTTACTTTATTTCAGACAAAATAATTAATTCACGTGGGATTATGATAATTTCATCAATTTTCTTGCTCAACATCAAATTTTAGCAGAAAATACAATAGAGTTATGGAAAAAAAATCTTCATTACATTGAACAAAATATAAACAATTTTGTAATTTCGTTAGCTCATCTAGGATATTTACAAAATAAGCGAATATCACATAAACAATGAAAGAAAGCTTCTAAAAATTATCAATGAAAAATTTCATATTATAACTCAGACTTATCTCCTTCTGCATCAGATCTGTCATCATCATCCTTTTCTTCATCTTTATCGGATACTTTATTAGATGATTCATCCAATTTAGGTATAGTATTATTTTTTAATTTTTTATTTAATTTTTTTTTTAATATTTCTATTATTTATTTTAATGTAATTTATAGCTTCATGAGGATTAAAAATAACACGAAACAAATATTAATGGAGTAAGAAAAATAATTTATTTAATCCAATAATCGCTATTGTTAAATATGTATATTGTTTAATTAATATATAAATTTTAGCCTGATGAATAACAATATTATTGATCTTCATGTCCATTCAAAGTATATAAGTAAGGAGGAAATGAACTTCTTAAAAAAACATTTTTCTCACCTTGAAATGTCAGTTCCTTCGTATATATCAGAAGTTTTAGAGAAAATTTCTAAATTATATGAAGTAAGTAAAAAAAAAAAAAAACCTTTAAAAAATTTTAACTAAACCACTTTAATATTGTATAGGATAACATTAGTGTCAATGAATTTTTTGAAAAACTCCAAGAATTGAAGTCCCAATCTAGAATTTCAATTCGAAATTCTGAGTCCAAAAAAATTTACTTTATTTTTTCATTCATCGAATCAATGTAAGTGTTACTATAAATTATTATTGTTATTGTGTTTAGGATTATAGAAAAAAAATTAAAATTTTAATTTTGTAAAAAAGGTTCATCAAATATAAGATGAATTTTTTTTCATCTCAAATGAATGAAGCAAAATGGTCGGTTGAATTTGTTGGACACATTGCAGATTTGATAGTATCTGATGATAACCTGTATACGGACTGGTATGTAATAATTTTGATTGTATTTAAACATATAGTATAGTTTTAATAAATACCATAATTTAAATTAATTAGGAATGGTCATTCATTATCCTCCCGAGAAAGAATGATTGAAAGTAATCAATTAAGAAATGGGAAATCCAGATTTTTTCATTGTGAATAGTTCTGGTTACGAGTTGTTTATTTGGAAGTGGCTGGCGATCCAAGTAATAAAAAAAAACATTGTGACGACTATAATAAAATCAATAGACTCATGCACAACTCATTTAACAACATCATTAATAAAGAATTGGAGCGTGGCAGATATTATCCAAATAATTTAGCTTTGTTTAGAATGGTTTCCATTCAATATGATATCATAATAAAGGCAATGGTTCGTGTTCAAGAAATCTTTATTTCAAAGAGGTTGCATGTAACTGAAATTCCAACCGTCTTTGATAGTCATTTTAATCAAATCAAAACCTTAATTGAACGAGTAAGCATTCTTTCAGTAAGTATAAAAAAAAAGACATTTAAAATTGACATCTATTTTATTAAAAAATAATATCTCAGGATGAAAAATTGACACATTTATTTATAATTTATTTAAGAACAATATTACCAGGATGGAATCCCTTTTAGATGAAAACTGGAAGACTACATTTTCTAGAAGTCCACAATCATCAACTAAACTATCAATGCAGGATTCTCCAAATAAAAACAAGAATAAGGCACCCAATAAAAAAAAGCTCCAAATTAAACACAAAGGAAAGGGTAAAGTCATTTATTCTTAAAACTAGGATAAAATAAGGGAGTTATAGGTCTAATTAGCACTGTTGCAATCACCAACTTTTGAATTTGTAAATGCACCAACCATCGAATTGTACACCACTCATAGTCGAAATCAATCATTCAGTTAATCTAACAAATAGATATGCTTATAATCTACAAAAGTGGTGTTAGGTGGTGAAATCTAAATAAATTTGGTGTTAAAAATAGTCGTAAAAACTTGTTCGTTGCGAATTATAAGTGTTGTAAATTTGGAACAGAGTTCAGGTGAATTTCGAATTTCATAGAATTTAGATATAAGTTTAAATAACAGGCGATGTTGAGTTAGTCTGCTCTATAGATGAATACCAGATAGGTATTACGAAGATCAGTATGTATGGTTTTCTAATATAAAACTATATAATAATATTTATTATAGTATCTGATCAGTATGGTATGAATTTTAAATTATAAACCGTACTATACTGACCGGTTATTATATATAATAGCTGATTAACATGATATGTATCGTACACTCCCCATACCAGACTGATCAGGTTACCCATACAGTACTAATATTTGTATTACCTTTAAAATAATGTACCCTCAAATTCATTTTCATTTATTACATCTCGATCTCTGTTAATGACAAGTAGCAGATAAAATTACATACTTTAGGTTATTGAATGGCAAATTCTTGGTATTTTTATTCAGTAAAGTATTAATAAAAATCTAGCCAACACATCCATAATCGGCCATCCTTAATCTACGTCATGCAAACTTTGTTGGCGAAGTGGCAGTATGTGAATAGTTGTCGATGATACTTGAAAAGATTTAAATTCATCAGTTAAATATACCTATTTTCTGGATTATATTTCGTATCTTTACCGTGCTAGCCAATTAATTAATTTGCATCTAAAATCGTGTTAGCCAATAATTAATTTGCATATAAAAATATAGGTAAACTTTATTTAAGATATGTTTACCTTATATATTGATTAATTTATCAAGATTTAATGTCGATAGATATTCTTATTTAAAAATATTTATCTCCTTAATTAAACATTATATTTGATAAAGTGCTAATATCAAACACATGCTTTAAGTAGTCTTACCTATAGAGATGGTGATATCAAAATTAAAATTGTCTGTGACTTACAATATTGCATTATTTAAATGACACAATTCAAAAGCATATTTATTACTTAATAAAATAATGTTAATACTAGTATTTTTTGTAAATTGTCTTAAAATTAGTGGATTAGAAAAATCCAGCATATATGTGATGTGCTGAAGTTATTTTATGATCATCATGTTAATTATCACGTTTGCAGACTGGTAAATTTTAAAAAAGTTGACACGTTGAATGGCATCATTTAACTGCCATTAGACTTGCATTCAATATGTCGAATGATATATGTCGAATGATAAGTCATTCAATATATGAGTGCTGCCAAGGGAAAACCTGTCATCGGACTTTCAACTATATTTTGTGTACAGTTAGTCATCTATGGAA